TAATCGTAGTATAGGATAACACATCTTGTCCATAAAGACAAGATATGTTAATTAATAGAATGTTGAAGATAAGAATTGAACGAAAAATGAATAAAAAATTGGAGATATAAGTGTAACTATGAAAAAAATATTAAATACCTTTTTATACAATGAAAATATGGCACAACAAAAGAAAACTTTAGTGCATATGTCATCAGTGGCGGATCCAGGAAAAAATTCAATACGGGCTAATACGTATAAAAAAAATATTGCACATAAAAAAAAATTTACTTAATTTTTTTTAATGGACATTTGGGCTGAAGGGGACGGGCTGTAGCTGAATCCGCCTATATATGTCATTGACCAAAAACTGTGATCTTAATATATTTAGCCTTAACATAAGACATCCACAAATTAGACTAAACTAGTTGCAGACGATTTCGAATTCCTTTTATGTACATAATTCAAAAACGAAATAATATAGGTTTTTTTGTATGATAATTGTACGATAGGGAACCACCTTCTTTCGACAAAACACTATTCACCTTAGGTGAGGTTTGGCCTATTAATACGGGTGCTGGAAAAATACTTCATAAACACACACACTAAACACATTTTGTATGATTGATGATAATAATGACGATGATAATGTCCTTTCTTTCTTCCCAAATCTCATTACACCCAAAAATAGTATATCGATAGCAAATTCTATATAAATGCTTCCCATATTTGTTTATTTTTAGCCATTTTAATTCGTAGTTGAATCTTTAGATGTCTAAATTGTTCTTTCAAATGACTATCTGTTTACACGTGAAAAATCATATTAAACTTTAATGGTGTGTCCGTTGCCTTATGTCTTCTTCCAAAATGAAAGTGAACTTAGGTTTACAGTTAGACATGATCTAACGGACTCCAGAAAATGTCATAGTTTTTAAAAGATTTTAATTCAAATCAACGGGCTCTAAGTTTGAAAGGTTCTTTAAATTAATAATGATGTTATTCTACTGTTGAATCTTTAGATGTCTAAATTGTTCTTTCAAATGACTATCTGTTTACACGTGAAAAATCATATTAAACTTTAATGGTGTGTCCGTTGCCTTATGTCTTCTTCCAAAATGAAAGTGAACTTAGGTTTACAGTTAGACATGATCTAACGGACTCCAGAAAATGTCATAGTTTTTAAAAGATTTTAATTCAAATCAACGGGCTCTAAGTTTGAAAGGTTCTTTAAATTAATAATGATGTTATTCTACTATCAATTTAAAATTTCTGCAGAAACGTCAATTGAACTACTGCTCTTTCCATTGACGTTGCTGCTTGTGCCAAGAGTAAGCTAAGTTCATGTTTGTCATCTTTTAACAAATTAAATTACTTACTATAGTAACATTCTCCATCACACATTCATACAATAAAATATTTTACACACAAATCAATAAAATTTCTCTAAGTTTCAACCACACATTTTCTAAAAAATACTATTCAAAACTCTACATTTTCTCCCATAATGGAGAAAAACAAGCTCTAAGTAATTTTGCCATTTAAGATTCTAAGTATAGGAGGGAGCAGGGACAAGAATTTTGTATAATCGGTGATTTCAATAATTCTTCCAAGAACAAGTCAATCTTTGTTAGTGATTGGTGGTGGAAAAATAATTCCACGAAAAGTAATCCTCATCAATTTTATAATATGAGAGCTCATGTTGTTATTGCTATTGTAGATAACTTTCTTTCTTTCTCCCCCTTTCCCCCCATTTTCATTCGTTGACAGCAAATGAAATAAAGAAATATAAGTAGATCAACTTAAAAAGAAGAAGAAGAAGAAAAAAAAAAAAGAATAGATATTGTAAAGGTGGCACAATGATGCAAACTCAAGTTCTTTAAAACCCAGTTGAAAATATTTTGCAAAAACGTGTTTTGTGGAATGCGTCTTTACTTATGGAATGAAGGCCTGTGATCTTGCCACGTGTCAACCCCACTTTCCGTTGGATTGCTTGACCTTCTGGTGACTTCCATTTAGGCTTTCTCCTAGGATTAAACGTATTATACACACATTTGATTTTTCTCTCACTACCTCTTGAGTTCTTCGTCTCTTCCTTTTCAAAACCAGAAAAAGGGTCTTTCAATCTTCCTGTTTTGAGAATCTCTCGATGATAAACATTTCTTGAGTGATTTGTATGTTGAGATATTCTGATTTGTTCTTGAGTGAACGATTTGTAATAATCTGTAAGGTTGATTTCTTGTAATCTTGAGTTATTAAGGTCTGAGTGCACCGATTTGTACTCCTTGAATGCTTTGGTTCTGGTTTTCGCTTTGTGGCTACTTATTGTGACAGAAGCTCGAAGGATCTAGATTTACTGCCTTAGGCAATCGTCTAATGAAATTCATTTTTTCAATTCTTGTTTCTCGATTTCAGTTTACTGGATATTTTTATTGTATAAGTCGTTTAATCGTTTGAACCTCCTCTTAACAAATATCATTATGAGGATAATATAAGGATGCAACTTTATCAGCATTAGAAAGTGTTACGGAAGAAGAAGAAATATATATATATATATATATATATATATATATAAGGTTAGGAAAACATTATAGGGAAAATTTCTTTAATTTTTTTTAATACATTGATTCAACTTATTATTATTATTATTTTTTTATTTTTATTTTTATTTTTTTTTGGTAGAACTTGCCATCTTGGTAGATAGAAAAGTACAACAAAATATATCACTAGGCTATAGTTTAATTATAGATCAATTTTATTTCTTAAATAAGAATGTAAGTTAATGACCCAAGTAATTTGGGCCTCTTATTTAGACCAATATTGTTGTTGTATTTTAAAGGGCTATAGACCCAACTCAAAAAAAACAAGGAAGTATTTTGTTGGGTTTTGGAGTTTTAATTTTTCTTTTGAGGCCCCCTTCAAGTTGGAGGCCCTAGGCAATGATTTTGGTTACCTTGGGCCAAGGCCGGCCCTGATAGCCCTCCTGATATCACCCCAATGACAACCTCCCATAGGTAGTTGAAAGAGATCACACCACCCTGAAACATTCGTGAAGCTCAGTGAGTTTGTTAACTTTTAAAATAATGAATGATGGAGTGATACATATGAGATAATATCTTGATAAGTGTGTGATAACTCGAAAAACTTTTAAAATTCAACAGTATCAACAAATTCATCCCACCTAACCAGGATTTTTGAATTTGCATGCCTCTTCTATTTTTAGATGGGAGTATTTATAAATTTTCCTCAAGGCTTTTGGGCAATTCGATCATTATAGGAGAAATGACAGGTAGTGGCCTTATATTGAATAGCTCATAACTGATTCAGTTATAATATCATGCTTAACTCACTTGCGCATGTGCAATTCAAAAATGATTTTTGATAAGCCTGAATGGCAGAGTAGTTCGCCTACTTTGTGCGAACCTTTTACACTTGGTTCTCATTTTGCACCATTTTACGCCCCGCAAGCAGAAAGCAGGGTTCACGAGGTATATTTTTTTGGCTCAGCAACAATTCAAAAATATTCTAAAGAATTTAATAGAAAATAGAAACTTTTTAAAAATTCAATGGCAACTGAAAAATATTCGAGAAACTTAAGCAACAATTGAAATATTTAACCCTCGTTATAATAAAATCATGCCAAGTAATACACATTTGCAGCCTAAATTTTGTAATTTTATCTCAATCCAAGACTTATCACTTGGTCCATCAAAAATTTCTGTTTTTGTTTAACTATGGTTAAGGACTTCTGTTTTTTATGCGTCAATGTTATTCGACAACAGTACACAACTGGCCAATCTTCAAAAATTTACAAGATATATATTTCATTTAGCAATATTATGCATTAATTCGGTAAATGACTTAATTAAATATGTGAAATTGATAGCATGTTACACAAGCTTGACCTTTTATAATTTATATGCCATCTCCCAAACTAATCGCGATAAAATTGTTATGTTTATTCTAACAAATCAAACATTAAATGCATAAATAAATGCATGCGCTTATAAATAATAATTATTGTAATTGTTGCTGCTTATACGCATGCAAATAGTATTTAATTAAATTATTATAGTTATTATTATCGAGATGTAAATGGATTAATAAATATATGTATATTCTGTTTTATTGAATACATTAAATCTGTTGTGAAATATATTAAAATGGTGATTGTTATGGACAAGATAAAAAAAATATGCCTTTCAAACTGCTAATTATTAAATTGATCACGAGCTATAATCAAATTCCTTTTTGTTTTCTCTTTCAATGCTGATCAAGCACCTGTCGAGTGATCTCATCGTCGAGGAAATCCTGTCAAGACTTCCCACAAAGTCCCTTGTCAGATTAAGTGTTGTAAGTAAAACACGGTACTTTCTCATCAGATCTCCTGAATTCATAGCCACCCACTTTAAACGCAATCTCTAAGAATATAGAGGTGAGTGAATAGAGGTGAGTGAATCGTGACTATAGATGATATTAAGCCCCAATTTGTTTCCTATTATTTGTCCATTAAAATGAAAAATATGATTGTTATCCATCACATCAAACCACCATGTTTGATTTTTTATCTCTTGTTTGGGGGTCCATAACGACTATATTTTTCACTCTCATTCTTGCATTAATGTGACTTAAACGTGACCTAAGTCATGCCATATCTTCTCCAATCGGACAATAACCGAGTATTAACCGTGATCATCTTACCATATTTATAATGATTATTTCCTTTACTTATTATTTTGTCCTAGTTTAGTTTATTTCCTTACACAAGCAGATTCTATGTAACGTCCCAATTTTTTTTTATTGAGCATAAACACGGGAACGTTACGAAAACTCATTTTTCTTTAATTAAAAAAAATGCGGAACTATATAAAATTCTTCAATAAACAAATAATTGTAACGTTTAGATTAAAATTATTGAAAGCGTATCTAACCATAAACATAAACTCCTAAGTAATTCAAATAATGCGTTCTAAATTAAAATAAACAAATTGCTAAATTTAAAATGGCAAACTTATTTCTTTTTCTCTATTCTTTATCCACTTGGCAGTCCGCATCACCAATTCTCCACTGTTCCTATCGACCCGAACTAATCTGAAAAATTAATGTAAGAGTGAGTATTAAAAATACCCAGTAAGATACGTGCAAATTTCCATACACAGGTATATAACAAATAAATAATACACTTCATACCGCTCTTCTCTTATGGAGTATATCGGTGATCAAGCGACACACCCATCTTAGGTCCTCTTAATTTTCATGTAGAAATTTCATATCTCTTTCTTTAGAACCCGAAAGTCCACTAGCATTCCATGCATATTTAATCGCACATAAGAGCATAAGGAAACGTAAACACTTTGCACATAAATGTATCTTACCT